CCGACGTCTGCTTCTCGACTACCCCTGTCTGGGCTTGGGCAACCTGGCAGTATCACGGGGTCAGATCCAAGAAGGGCTAAGTCGTCTGCGTACTCGGTATCTGTAAGCGGACGCCTCGGTAGAAGTTCGACCTTACAGGCATTGGAGGCTGACTGTGAGTCTTTCATAAGCGTATCGATGATGAAGTTGAAGAGGAAAGGTGGAAAATAACAAACTTGTCTGAGACCACTTGATGAGATGAACTCAGAGGAAAAAAATCGTTCAGCTGTCGCACTCTTTCGGTGCCCAACTGCCATGCCACACGAAGGAGGCACGAGGGATGGGATACTGCCAGGTCGCCCAAGCCTAGACAGGGGAAGTCGAGAGGCAGACGTCGGGTTCGAACCACGGACCTTCCGGTCAGTAAATTCGCGCTCTAACCACTTGAATCATCTCGCCCACTCAAGCGAGAGCTTCCCGTAGAACATCAACCGACCGCGGGAGTTGGCGTACAAGGCCTTACGGAGAGTCGAAAACTTATGGGGGACACCTTTGCTGCACAGACACTGTCATATGACCTGACGTTCTACAGAGTCAAAGGCAGCCTTCAGATCAAGAAACACAACCATTGTTGGTTGCTGGAAGCAGTTTCGCTGTTCCAGAATCCGTCGGAGGGTAATGATGTGACCGATGCATCCTCTTACAGGACGGAACTCAGCTTAGTTTTCACGGATCCATCTCTCCCTGTGTTCAGTCAACCTTCGAAGGATAAAACCAGAGAGCTCCTTCGATGCGACAGCTAACAGGCTGATGCTAAAGTGGTTTTCACGCAGTTTTCACGCCCACTCTTTTTGAAGATAGGGATAACTGTCGACATGCCCCATTCCGTAGACACCTCTCCGTTCCATATAGCACCAGTGAACTTTGTCAAATGGATCGCCAGGGATTCCCCACCTTCTTTGAAGAGGGCTGGATACAGACCGTCCGGACCCGGCGCCTTCTCACGTTTTAGCTCTATTTCTTCTTCCGACAGGCGATCAATATTTACATTCCATTCACCTGTATGCATTACATCTACAGGCTGTGTTGCAGTAGGCCAGCTGAACTGTTCTTCGAAGTGTTCGGTCCAACTTTCGACTTTTTTGCGAGTGAATTAATGAGTTATCTTATTCACTTATCGCTTCGCTGACCGTTGCTTTCCTAGGGCCAGTGGATCGTATCAGTTGATATAGGGAACGGCTGTTTCCCGTAGCAAAAGCTTTCTCCATCTCTCCAGCTTTCGATGTCCACCAGAGCTCTCGGTCTTTCGTTAGACTCTTCAATATTTGACGTTTGAGGGATCTGAGTGCACCGTCGTACTCGTTGCCTGATGGATCTCCTGTCATCGATCATGTTGACATCCGGTGGTCATGTGGTTGAATTGGAGAGGTCGATCAGACAGCATTGAACGTCATCATCGACAGCATGACATCAGTGTTCAACACCGATGCTTCATTGCTTCACTGAACGCCGCTAACGTAGTTCCTTCTACATTTTGCCACGCTTCATCCACATGCTCATTGCCACCACAGTACTCGTTTACTGTGGAGAAGATAGTGGACTGACATGCTACTTGCTACTTTGCGGAGGCCTGAAGGGAATCGAACTGTCACGCGTTCAGCACCATGGCGTGATGGGAATCAAGTGGTGTGCCCCAGAATGAATGACAGTCTTGAATTGTGTATCTCCACCGGTGGCTTATAGCCACGTGGTTCAACTGGGTCCACGGTTGATTTGCATTTGGTGGCAGCTAGATGCGAACTTTTATGTTGAACGTTCTTACTTGCCAGAAACAGTTCACGGTCAGCACACAACTGAAGGGGTCGATCTCCACTGTCTGTGCGGCGAGCATCAACTCCAAATCGACCGCCCAAATGTGACTCCAAAGAGCTAAGACGGCCTACTTGAGCACTCACACCACCTACAAGGATCACAGTGTCAGTGCGTTCTGTCTGACGAATGAGCCCGGATAGCTCCCGATAGAAAGCATTCTACTCAGCATCAGAACTGCAGTCCGTTGGAGCATAAGCCCCAACAAACAGGCACCACTTCTTACGCCCAGAGGCACTGAATTTGATTGAGCTGCATAACCGGAGGGCGTCAAGACGACTGTCCACTGGGATCCAATCCAGCAAAGCGCGTTGAACTCTGGGGCTGAGTGCAACTCCCACGCATATATTCCACGAGTCATCGCTTCTGGGTCACCGGACACACGGAGAGAGAAATGCTTAGCATTCTGAGATGCATAACCACGCTCAAGTCTTGTATGCGTGTTTCGGAGACAGCATGCATCAATTTTAAGGGAGTATAAGGTTTCATCAAGCATTGCCTGTTTGCCAATTTGACAGAATACGGACGTTAAAAGCTCCTATATAGAAAGGATCTCGTGAATTTAAAAGGGTCTTATTTTGTTTGCTGTTAATGGGCAGCGAGGAGCATAGGGCCCTTCGGTCAGGTAACCCACAATCAAGTGGCCCAGTGACGTTTGTATGTGGTGGGACGGGGTTGGGGAGTGTAGTGAAAGTTACGCTTTGCTGCTATTTCCATTAATTCACTTTCACTTGTCATTTCAGCCTACACTGTGCTTATATGCTTAGGCGAAGTCTTCTCATTCTACTCAACGGATCAATAATCGATTAACTAAGTCATCGACTCCCACTACAGGGAGGGTGTCATGAATATTCTTTGTGTTCACATTATCGTTTTGTATTAACCCTTCACTTTCAACCTATGTACGTCTATTCTTAGGCAAGTAAAGCGCTACTCATTCTACGCTATTCACTCTTGTTCTCACGCTCAATCAGGATCAATATTCTATTCGTAACAGAGGGGCATCGGTGGATACCGAACTGCGCGGGCAAATGATACTTCCCGGTTGTCCGGGCCGAGGAAGGGGGTTTGGTTGAGGTACCCTCCCTTGAGCCTTTAACTCGAAAGTCTGACCCATGAGGCAGCAGACAGTAGGGTTTTCATTGGGGACCTTGCGCGGAGCCGATGACCCAATAGTCTGATCTGCTCGGCTGCAAGGGGTTGGGCTAACCCGAGGGCACAGGGAATAAGGCATTACTGTTTCATTCCTGATGCGGCTGCGCACGGCAGGCCTTTTTTTTGAGCAGCACCGGGCTCTTTGGTTTTTAAAGTATTTCGACCGTAGTGGACAATGCGCGGGTGGTCATGGTCAACCGTTGGGCGATCGGAGTGTGCGGCCTTTGGGACCGACCTTTTCTAACCCGTCCTTCCTCGGGAAAAGGCAGCATCGTTGCTTCCACATATATGGACATTATGGTCACCTGGGGGAAATACTTTACTGCCTTCACACTTCTGTCGCAGAGGACAGTACGACTTTAACCAAAGACCGCCTTGTAGCACGATTACTCGTAGTACGGGGTCTCGCTTCCCTTGGTCTGACTGCTCCCTTTTGGCCTTCCTGACATGTTGCACCTTCAAGAACGACGTTCCGGCCGATGTAGCCCGCGGGATCGTTGCAGCACTCAAACCTGATCGCCACGTCAAGGTAGCAGCTTTAGGTCGCGGGGAAATGACCCATCTAGGAGGCGTACAAACACTGGATGAGGGAAGTTGAGTGTGCAGAGAGATTGGAATCGTTGGAATTAGTCGCCCTAAGCTACCATAAGAGGTAGAATCACCGTCTATCATATCCTCTGTTTACAGTCGAAGCGGGAGGAGGACAAAGTTGTTTCTTGGCCCCATTAGGTGTTTTCTGCAATGCCTGTGGGCACCCGGACAATTGTAAATGACTCTGTACTGTTTCTTCGGAGTACCAAATGGTCCGACCCAACCTCGATTTGGAGCCTGGGAGTGTTGCACTTTCAATTAATTTACCTGGAAATGCTTTCCATAGTTTGCTAACACTCCGTGACAATCGGTGCACGTGAGGCGGTTTATCCGTACTATGGACCTCTAAAAGAAACACGTACACGCATCATGATTGGAGCGGATAATGGGGATGGGAGTTCGTGCGTACCACAATGATTTAGACACATGACCCTAAAGATAAGTGGTGAATAGGTGATAGGTGCAATGAGTTTGCGCGTGAGTAGGAAGCCATAGGTCGGTATACTCGGTTCTGGTCACGGATTCCGGTTGACTATCCGAAAGAGGAATGGAACGGAATCGGGCTCCATCACTTGTGGTAGCATGCCTTAGTGGGGTTACTAGTGCATAAAATTACAAGACTGGTAAAAAAACAACGATGGTTCATATGGAGGGGTGAGTAATGAGGCAAGTTTGAGAAGGCCATCGATATTGCGTTCAAAAGGCAGTGATGGAGAGAGTTCGAGGCGTCGCGTCCGGAAGATCATTCCAGGGTGGGAGAAATTTAAAAAGGTTTCCGAGGTAAAGATAGCTCAGTGCTTATGGAACAAACTTACTGACCGGGAGGTCCGTGATTCGAACCCAACCCCGACAGTTCGACCGCTCCTGTTTAGGCTTAAGAAACCTAGCAGTATCTCAGTCCACGTGCTTCCTTTGGGTAGAAGGGCAGCTAGACACTGGAAAGGCATTACACCTGAATGATTATCTTTACTTTTATTAGAAAAAGTTTCTCGTGGTCGACTTGTGTACTCGGGTTGGAACAGGTTGCGAACGGGTTGGTGTCGTGGGGAAGGGTGAAAAATTGGTCGCTGGTCTCAAATTGAGGGGTTGTAGGCGCATAAGGCATCCTTGATGCATACGGTATTCCAGGGTGAACAAATTTAACCCCAGGAGTCGTTCGGGGTATGCAACTTCTGGAATGCATCAACATTTTCAGTCACTTTACGCTGTACACTTTGGAGCATATCAACGTCCGTTTCAGCTGAGGAAGCCAAGCAATGAAGCGGTTTTCTATCAAGGATGGGAAAAAGTGGAAAGCAGCACAGCGAAGTTGGACTGACTTGGGTCTAGGAAAGCTTTACAACGGAGTCTGCTAAAAAAATCACTTCTTCGCACAGATGCATTAGGAGTCAAACAGAAATGCTTTACTCGCCATGCCATCGAGCCAGGTCAGCCACTTGCAATACAGCAGGTCGCACTGTTGGGTCATCGGCTCCGGACAGGATCCCAAAAGAAAACCCTACCGCTCCGTCTCGCGGGACTGAATTCTGAGTCACCGGCTAGGGACAGGGTCCACGAACAAAACCCTACATTCTTCCGCTGTCTTTTGCCTCAGACCTTTGAGTCAAGGGCTCAAGGTGGGGTACCCCAAACAAACCCTTTCCTTCAGCACGGAAAAGCTGGGACTATCATATGCCCGTACAGTTTTTGGTTCACCGATGCTCACCCAACCCCTTCCCACCACACAAGCGAACGTTGCTGAGTCATTAGATTGTAAGCTGTCTATCATATGAGCCTTATACACTCCGTTGTCCCTTACCAATAAACAAAATAACGTTTCCCTAAATCCACAAGACCCTTTTTACATAGGAGACTTCAATGTCCGTACTCCATATCAAATTTTCAAATAGGCAACCCTTGCCCAAGCCTTACCCTTGAAATTAATTTAAGCTGTCTCTCAAACACAGGTACAAGACCTATGTGCAGTTGTGCATCCTCAAAAGCCATGGAGGAACCCAGCCCCCTCACATTTCATCCTCCATATGTACGGTCATCCATTAGTTCATTCGCAAAAACATCGACTGGAAAGATGGCCCGAACATTTCAGCTGGCCTCCTGCACCACAGCATGTGGATATAATACATACGGGTGAATGGAATGTGAACCTGAATCGTCCGTCGGAAGAATAGACAAAGTACGCAATATCCGTACTGAAACCTAGACACCAGGACCGTACGGTCTGTATCCAACCCTGTTCAGAGAAGGTGGTATCTCATCTAATGGGACATGTCGACGGTTATTCCTGCCTTCAAAACGGCTACGCCGGGATCCCTGGTATCTCATCTAATGAGACATGTCGACAGTTATTCCTGCCTTCAAAACGGCTACGCCGACGCCGGACGAAAACCATCGTGGTGTCAGCCTGTTAGCTGTGGCATCGAGGGTGCTCCGTGGTCATATCCTTCGAAGGTTGAGTGAACACAGGGAGAGATAGATCCGCGAAAACCAATCTGCGTTCCGTCCTACAAGAGGATGTATCAATAATATTTTGACTCTTTGACAGATTCTGGAACAGCGCCACTTTCCATTAACCAACAATGTTTGTATCCCTTGACTTGGAAGTTGTCTTTGACTCTGTGGACCGCTAGGCACCATAACAGTCTATGGGGCAAAGTTGTCCCCTATAAATTCCTGAATTTCGGTAAGGCATTTTACGCCAACTCCCACAGACGTTTGAAGGCCTACAGGAGGCTCGTTCCTGAGTTCCCCACATCAAGTGGTGTCGGGCGAGGTTGTTCTCTTTCACCTTGCCTCTTCAACTTCGTCATTGATACGATATGGAAGACTCACTACCAGCCTCTAATGCCCGTGAGTCCGAAATGCTCCCAAGGCATTCACTGACATCTACCGAGTATGCGAACGGCATACCACTTGTTGGATGACACCGCCGTAACGCAGATATTAAGTAATCTAAGTAACTCTACCTCACGGTTTGGTATGCGATTCGCACCTGAAAAGTGCAGTGCTGCTGCAAGATTGGTTGGTCCCGAGCCCTAATCTCGTGCTTGCGGGTGAGACGACTGGGGAAACAGGCAATTTTGTCTACTTGGGCAGCTGCATTGGTCCGGTGTTCTAGCAAAGACGATACTTCTATCCGGCTCGGTAAAGCCAGAGCAGCCTTCGTGAACGTGAATCACCTGCGGCGCAGACATGACATCAATTTATCTATGACGGGTTGGGTTTGAAATGCTGCGGTGAGCTTCATATTGCTATGTGGATCCAAAAAGTGGTGCCGAGGATTTAAAAAATCCTTTAGTTTTGACCGTCGCTGTATGTGAAGCATTGCCCGAGTTTGGTGGGAAAACCGTACCAGCAATGCTGATTATCGGAAAATATAACTCATCTACGGAGCACGAGACAGCCGTCCTTAAGGCGT